GTGATGTCCCACACTTGTTAAAAAACAACCAAAAAACTGCTTCTCAAATTCTTATTCACATAAAAAAGTAGACAAGATGTGGAATGATGGTTACGATATATCCTGGCTTGCAGATTGTGGACTTTAATAAAGATCATTGCTCTTGGGATTTATACAAATTGTGCCAATAAGCCCTTTACTCCCCAACATATTTAATGTCTCTTCATTTTGGAGCTATGAAAGTACGACTCGCTGCCCAAAGTTCTATCTTCAACTGTTGCCAATGCCACTTGAACTCATGTTATGGCAGTCTAGAGTGCAGGAAAACAGTAAAGGGATTATTCGGCACAATGGACAAATTCTTTGATTGTCCTGGAATTCTAGGAAAATTTAGGAGAAGGAATACAGAAAACGAAATGACCATTTAAAACCTTTCTCTTCATGTGCCCCGTCTTAATTACCTGCTTGAAGATTTTTCTAGGCTTTTTTGAAGAATGGAAAGTCAGTGTTGAAAACAGAAATGGAAATTTCACGAAACAGGTCAAAGGAGCAAAATGATGCTGAGTTACCAAACACTGGAAGACCCTTGAAATGACTGCTAAGTCAATTGTTTGCTTGGTATGTTACTGTCTTAATAAATGGAATGGATTTTGTTTTGACTGAAAAATTTAACCAGGATCCAATCGAACAGCATTTTCGGTATCCACAGAACCAGCAATGGATGCAATGCAAATCCAAACTTGAATCAATTTAAAACAACTCAATGGTGAAAATACGTGTTGTTGGCAGTCAAGCAATTGCCCCATTTAGAGGAAATACTAAACGGCAGTTACTACTTCCTACAATAGATAGTACTCCTTACCTTACCAAAAAAAGAGAAAAATCTTTGCCATAACACAGTAATTAAATTTATTTAATAGTAAACTTACTGTGTATGTGTCAGCATGTGTTGATTAACTCAAAGCTAAACAAACTATTGTAGCGGTCAGAATCATTTAATAATATGAAGGGACTCTTAAAAATGTTAATTTAAATACAGTGAAACAAAAATATACATCATTAGCCTATCCCACCAGAATAAATATATTTTTGTTTTATATCAAGTAGTTTAAACATGTACCAGCATCTTTTGTAATAATAGCAATGTATCAACTTTTCTTTAATCAAGATAATATGGTATTTGTATGGTGTGTGAACACAATGTATGGAATAACAAACATAAATCTCTTTATAATTTAATTATAAAATCTTTATTTCAACAGGCTTCTAGCCATTTATGATTGAAAAACATTCACAATCAAAACTTGTATAGTTTACTTAGAATAAAAATGTGAACATTTAATAGATTAAATCATCAAATTAACACATTTTATGTGAAGTGTTATTCTGATAACATTCTAAGAGTATAAATCTTTATCTTATGAAATATTTTCAGAGTTGAACACATGTATGTCTATGTATTTCACTTATTCATGACTATCTTAATTAATGTTTGATTTGTCTTTGAGGACTCATCTGATTTTTGCAGTTTCTCTTTTAACACTTTGGCAGCTGCATGTCCACGCACTTTTAGGAACAAGTCAACACAAAACTCAATTAAAAAAGGAGCCTGATTTCCTTGGAACAGCTGTTCACTATAATGTTTCACCATATGGTCTTCCAAGATGATTTCTTTAATTGTAGTATATATGTGAGACGTAACATGCTCTTCGTCAATGTTTTTCCTGACAATGAGTTCACACGAGCGTATGAAGAGAAAAAAGTTATCACTGGGTACCTTAAGCCCACCTCGATTTACTTGTTCTGTCCATTCAGAGAATTTGTTCACAAATGTTGTTTTTTCTGAATCTTTATCGTTTTTTACTAGCTTTGCAATCATTTTATCATCTAAATTTTTCTCAAGCTGTTTGTTTGTTACAATTTTTTTAATCATGAAACCAGATATGTAAAATAAAACTGACTGTTCAGTATGAGAAAGAACTATTTCTTTATCTTGAATGATTGCTTTTTCATAAACTTCAGTCCTTTTATGAATTAAATCTTGTATCAACTGTCTGTTCAATGTTGCTACAAACTGCTTTAGTGGCACATTAGAAATTTGCAAAGACTCCAAAATTTGTATCAAGTTACTGATCAAAGATTCATCATGAAACAACTCATAATACTTGCTTAACAAAACTTCATTAACATTGTTATCACTGTCTGCTGAACAGAACAGAACAGAACAGAATTTATTGATTTAGGCCACCAGCCCATAACATATACAATTGTAACATTAAAAAGATACAAAGTTATGTGGATACACTCATCAATACATTATAACAATTCACACAAATTACAACGTTAATGATAAAATATAGACGTATCTAAATCAAAACTGCATAATCATCTTTTTTCGAATTGTTGCATGATAAACATAATTGGCAAGACTTTTTATAACATTTTCATTTTTACACGATAATAATATATTCAATTTGTGCTCTGTTGCACAAGTATAATATTTCTTAGCAATATAGTTTGCTCTTAAATCTGCGTATACAGGACAGACTAGTAGAAAGTGAAATTCATTTTCAAATAATCCTAAGGAACATACTTTACAATTCCAATCATTCGTGTTAATTTTTCTATATGACTTTTTTAGTCACTTCTAAATGTGAAAGCCCTGAACGTAATTGAGCGTAGCAATGTCTGAATTTCCTGATATTTAAGATAGATATATAAGTTTCCTGGTCATAATTATTTTTAATTCGATTATACAATGAGAGACAATCACTAGAATCTAACTTGCTATACCATCCTTGCAAATAATTATCCTTAAGTCTTTGACAAAACAAATGGAGAAACAATCTTTCACTTTGAACTCCTTGGTTCAACCAAACGTGCCCAAACCCATTACTACATAAAAGATGTTCAATTTCATTTGCCCAATTAAAATATTTAGCACATGTTGTACTTGAAAGCATTCTATAACAAATTTTTACATATCTGTCATTAGGTAATTTCAATAATTTGAACCAGTACTTTATGCAACGCATGGCAGATTCTACATAAATTGGATAACGACCACAGTCGCCTAAATACTACATTATTACTAGATGTTCTATTTACGCATAAAAATCGTTTACAAGCTAAACGATGAATAAGCTCACAATTTTCACGGGGTTTAAAACCCCATATTTCGGATCCATACAGAAGGATCGGTAATATTTTGTATCAAATAATTTAGAAAATATGTTTTGAAGGCAATTGTCCATAATCATACAAAGAAGAAAGTAAAGAAAAATAATACTCGTTTAGCTTTCATTGCAAGTTCACTGCTCATAATATTTAACGACATAGTGGATGTAAATGTTACTCCAACATAGGTAAAAGAATTAACTATTTCAAGTTGCTGATTATTATAATAAAAACATTCATTACGCGCTAATCGACTGCCCTTTTTAAAAACCATGACTTTTGTTTTTGATATATTTACTTGCAAACAACTAGACTTGCAAAACGTTTCTAATACATTAAGTTTGATATTGTAAATCTCTAATTGTTTGTGCAATCAAGGCTACGGTCATCCGCAAACATTAGCAGCCATATTGAAATTTCATTTGGCATTATCTGTATACCTTTAATTTTATCGTCATTGTTCACCATAACTGATAATTCATTTATAAAAAATGAGAAACAATTTCGGCGAAGCCAAACATCCCTGCTTGAGGCCCATCGGGCAATTAAAATAATCTGAGATTTGACCGTTAGAACGTACACATGCTTTTACATTATGATTACATAGCAATAATAGAATTTAAAAGATTTCCCCTTATATTAGCATTGTAAAGTATTTGCCAAAGCTTGTTACGATTGACAGAATCAAATGCTGTTTTGAAATCAACGAATGCAACATATAATTTGCCCTTTTCTTTGAAAGTTGCCTTAGAAATAAGTGATTGCAGAACAAATGCATTATCTTTTGTACTATAACCAGCTCTAAATCCAGATTGGCATTCGTCTATTTTATTAAAAACATTGGCATAAAAAGATAGTCGTCTATTTAAAATGGATGTGTATATCTTACTAAAAATGTTAAGCAAAGAGATTCCGCGATAATTCGCTGGATCATTACGATTACCCTTTTTGTGCAATGGTATGATAATAGCGGTACTCCATGAATCTGGAAATTCCCCTTTAGCAAATAGTCTGTTAAATAAAGTAACCAGTTTGAACTAAACTTTAACTACGTTTACAGGGCACACTTCCATCCCTTGTTAGAAAAGCAGGATATGATGTATAATAGTGTTCCACATTCCTATTAGCCTGACTCAAACATCTAAGACAGACACAATAAAAGCTCCTTGCAACCATTTTTGAATTTCTTTCAGGGCAAAAACACTGATTTAAATAAATAATTGAACCTTTCAATTAAACAATTGTGGTTTTTTAAAGGAAATGTTAGCACCTTTCTATTCCTCCATAATACATGAACTGCCGCAGTTTGATGAAGAAACTAATCACATCATAAGAACAACTAAATTATTATAGTAATGACCTTAATAGTGGGCGTTCTCCAGAAGACATAACAATGCAAAGCATATGTACACATAAAATCTAATGTGTGTAATCACAATTCTATTGTTAATAATAACTAGGTATCTAGCCCGGCAAGCATGGCAGATGTTTTAATTATAAATGTAAAAAAAATATATATCTTTCAGAAAATGATTGCAACGAAACTATGTATTAAATATTGTAATATTGAAAAAATATCAACAATTCATTGCAATGTATCAATAAATGACATTTTAGCACGCAAGTTTTCCAACAAGGTAGTAAATGCATGTAACTCCAGACATATAAAATCAACTGCAACAACTGGTAAACAACTGTACCAATCAAACGATATGTTGTGAATCAACCACGTAAAACTGTAGAGGAGTTTTTTTTCTTTTCTTTATCCACTGCCTTTACACTTATATGTGTATTTTTGTTCATGTTAAGTTGTAAGATGCGGTAACAAGATATGTCTAGTTGATATCAATGATAAGCTTCTATTCCATTTGATTTTCAAAATGACTGGTTAACTGATATTATAGTTTCCTCCTTTGTTTTTTTAGTTAAACAAAACAGTTAAATGCATAACAGAAAAGACTGAAACCAAATAGTTATTGTATCATATGAAACAATTTCACTTTTTATTTGGGTGAAAAAATGAAAAAAAGTAATCCTTTGGAAGCATTAATCACAACAAAAATGCAAGAGAATTGCAGACTCGTTTTGATTGAGCATGTACATGAGAGATAATGAAAACGTGCAACATCCCTCACGCCCGCTAGCATCGGCTTGAGCGGTAATCAATTTTCAACACTTAATAGTGCTGGCATCAATGATCCCGAAGGACCAGAAAAATATAACAACACTGATCTGAAGTACAGGGCAACTGTTTACAGCTGCCACACGGCACTTGACACCTGCTGTTGAGAAGTATAAAAAAATCTGGAAGCATTAATCACACCAAAATTACAAGAGAATTGCAGACTCGTTTTGATTGAGTCTGTACATGAGAGATAATGAATACATAAACATCCCTTAAGCGGTAATTGAATTCTTTTGATAATTTCCATGTTAGAGATGTTAAAAATTTTTACCTTGGATGTGCAAATTTACTGTTATTTGTAAGGAAAAAACTACAGGTTTATATTTATTTTCCAAATTTTCAAATTATATGATTCAAGCAAGAATCAAATTTGAATATATTTTAGATGCTTTACCATCACATAATATACTTTACCAATACAATCTAAGGTCCCAAGTTGAATGTAATATTAAATTTGACATGAGCATTTTATACCCAGTGGAGGTCCAATAATGTAAAAAAACACACCTGGAAACAGATATATTACAATTTACAGACATAATTTACTCTCAGAGTTCTCGGATTATGCTATTGCTTATAAGACCTGATCAAACTTCTGGGTATCAAAAAGCCTGTGAAAATGAGCAATCAAATTAAAATCCCATTTAACAGCATGATACATCTTTCTGAACAATAAATCACTGTGCCGTACACAAAACTTAAGGCTGTGAAAGAGTAGAATTCAAACTGACATTTAATTTGATTTTAGCTCTTAGATGTTATACTGTTCATACAAATTTTAATGTACTAAATTTAACATCAAAGTATGGGAAAAGTGAATTGCCTTTTTACTAAAACTACAGACACTTGTACCCATGCTTCATTTATTTTCTATTTTCAGCAATACATATTCACCTGGTTCATCATTACACACCTTTTTAAATTGTTCTATACCATTGCAAAACGGTGTAACTTGTTGTGGTTTTCAACATTTACTGTTTGTTTACATTTAGAGCATTAAGTATAAAATATCTTTTAAAGACAACATTCATGATTGTTTGTGCTGCTTACACAAACATTGTTGTGACATAAACCGATGGTTTAACCCTTTACCTAATGTATACACGAAACAATGCACTTTTGACACCCACCTCTTTAAGCAACAAACAGCAAAGAACTTGTTTTTTTTGGGTCCCAAACACATGTTTTTGGTTGAAAATGTTGATAAAAAGTGATCACTTTTTCGGCGCGCGCCCCCATGAAAAAGGTACATCAGGGGGTTGCCAGAAGGGGGATGTGCTGTTTCGGGGGTTTGAAGGTGGCAGAACCCCCCACCCCCCCCGTATCGCAATAAAGATTTTGGACAAGTGACAGGCTAAAAATGGCATCAAGTCGATCGTGAGGTAACGTGTGCAAAGCCTTTCCTCTATCCAATCCATTGAGAAGTTGCAACACTTTGAAATCAGTTTTGATGGAAACAACTATAGGAAAATATAGGAAAATATAGATTTTTGGCAATTTTGAGACGTCTGCCCGTTGCCATGGTAACGGGATATTAAAGACTGAACATATTGTTAGTGAGGCTATGATCCAGTTAACATTCGTGCCATATTTCATCAGTATTGAAGTTTGTTTAATAATTTCATAGCGGTTTGAACTTGTTACATGTGTTGTTTTTTTTTTTTAATGAAAACTGCAATTTTTCACAATATGCTCATGCGATTAAGGGCTAAAAGCAAGATGCAGTCTAGTCAATTCAAAGCTTTTAGGTCCAACCCAGGGTCGAAATATTCTTTACAGATTCTCCTAAACTATCTTCTACATAAAGGCTTCACATGGTGCATATTAAAAAACAAGGAAGTCTACGAGCAAAGAGCTGGGCTATCATAGTCCAATTCTATGTATCTAAATATCAGTGTAACCTCATGGGCAATATGTTGACTTTCAGGGGTTAGATAATGCAATATGATATTGTACAGTCGGGCATACTTCCTGATCGGGAAACAAGGGGATTTCCCCTCAAGGTTTCCCGATCAGGCAACAAACATCAAAATCTTTCCCGATCGGGAAGTTTTTTAGGCCTTTTTTATGTAGTTTAAGAAAAATGGCCGGTGCATAACAATTTTCAATCCACTTCAATATGAATATTACATTTTAGTTCAGAAAAGATACATCTAAAATCCTACCGAGTCATTTTCTTTTTAAATGTTTACAATTAAAATAATCTGAAAGTGAACTTAAGTAAAGTTTTTAGATTTTACCTAAAACTAGCCACTTTCCGTTTTGGGAACATTGAATCCTGATCAGGCATCTAGCAAAATATTCATCATTAAAAGTTTAAGATACATTGCTTCCCAATCTGGAAGTACCTTATATTTGTTGTAGTTCCTGGCCTTGATGATTAGAAATTGCCAAGCCTGGTCAGTTTTTAAAGACATGTGGCACATAATTCAATCACGACGAGTAGAATATATCTGGCGAAACTTATGTTCTTGTTAGGCGTAATAATACCTTTCAAAACATTAGCTATACTTGACGGACAGTACAAAAATCATCATTACAATAAAAAAGTTTCATACTGTTAAGATTGTAAAGCACATGTTGAACAACATTGCATAGAGTGTTATTTCTCAAAACAATTACCATGCAGCTCAAATAATTCAAATGTTGACTAGAGCTCACAAAATTTTTTTTTGGCTATAGCTCAAGACGTGTTTGCATACTACACGTGTTTGTAGTGACTGTGTCATATTTCTGAAACTTAAGTGTATAAAGCTATATATCTGATGCAAAAATTATTGTTAAAATTTTAAAAAAGTATACTTCCAAAATTATTGTGTGAAATAAATATGGTAATTTATTGCCTTAAACGCGAATGGGTAATATAGCAAAACAGTATTGTGTTCCTGTTTACTTACAAGATTCATTTGTATTTAATAACAGTGATATTCTATGTTACATTACTTTTTCAGGAGTCAACCATATAAAAATGGAACCAGCATAATTTTGCTGTTAATAAATATTTAAATATTTCGTAAGATATAGAACATACCCTTTAAGCCACTTTAATTTTAAAAAATGAATAAAATATAAGATAAAATAAATAAATAAAACAAGAAATATCATAATGACATATATGCCCCCCCCCCCTTTCTAGCTGAAATTGAATGAAATCTATCATTAGTAAGTTAAACAAAATGATGAATAGCTTGAATAAATTATATACTATCATGTAAATGTAACTATGAGCATCTACTTTGAATATTCAAGGTTATTGTAACCTTGTCCTCTGACCTAGTGACCT